TCTGAGGCTCCGTCTAACATACTTTGGACATGTTGTGAAGAGAGACCGGTCCTTGGAGAAGGACATCATGCTTGAGAGGGTGGAGGGGCAGCACAGGAGGGGAAGGCCCTCTATGAGGTGGATTGATTCAGTGACTGGGATAATCAGGATGGGAGTGTCAGAGACAGTATGATTGGCACAGGAAAGAGTTTAGGGCTGTTGTACATAGGGTCGCTATGAGCCGCAAGCAACTTGATGGCACATAACAACAACAACATCAACAGTATATGGGAGTTCCCACCTCTCCACATCCTCTCCAGCATTTAATACTTGGCGCTCTACTAAATTTAGCCTCTGCAACTAGGGTGAGATGGTATCTCATTGAGGTTTTGGTTTTCATTTCTCTTATTATCAGTGATTCTGAGCATTTCCTCATGTGTCTGTTGGTATCTGAATATCTTCTCTGAGTAAAGTTTTTCTGTGTCTCTTGCCCATTTGATGATTGGATTATCAGTCTCTCTCTTCTGGAAATCCAGGAGTATTCTGTAAACATTTGTTTTGAGACCCTTGTCAGAGATATTGCTGTTAGTTTCCCTTTTCACCCTGTGGAAAAAAGCTTTGGTGTGCATTTGTTTGTGGTTTTCTTTCTGGTAATATCTTTGCCTGATTTAGCTGTTAGGGTTATCCTTACTTCATAGACTGTCTCTGGGAGTGTTCCTTCTTTTTCTATTTTTTAAAATAATTTAAGTAGAGTTGGTGATAGAGAATCTCTGACTATTTGGTATAATTCAGCCCTGAAGCCATCTCATCCAGGACGTGTGTGTGAGAGTGAGATTGTATGACCTGTTCAATTTCTTCTTTTGTGATGGGCCTATTCATGTGTTCTACATCTGTCCAGTCAATCTGGGTAGCGCATGAGTTTCAAGGAATTATGAACACTTTTTTAAAACAAATGATATATTTATATAATTTATGTACTTGGCTTGAGTTTTCTATCATTGAAATTGTCTTTGCTCACTTAAGACTTCCCTGTTATTTATATCTTGAAATTTTTGAGCCTTACTCTCCCCACTAGAAAGTCAAACAATCAGTTCCCTATAACTTGTACTAAGGGAATTTGCCTTTAGTAATAACTAATGAGAGTCATTTTGTGAACTGGCCTTGAGCAATTAACTTTAAAATTGGGTCATACTCAATGAAAATAATGCCTTTTGCTATATATTTTTCTTTCTTATTTGCTTAAATTGTTGTTTTGTGCTGTTGACTCGCCTGCTACTCATAGCGACTCCTATGTAAGGCATCAACTGACTCTTCTTCTGTCATCTTTAGTCATTATCCAGCTCTCTGATGCATAATAACTGTGATGTCCATGGCCTGGATCAGGCACACCTTAGTCTCTAGATGGGTTTTGTTGCTTCTCAGCACTCTGGAGAAGTTCCTGACAGCAGATTTTTCCCATTGCAATTCATCTTTTGATTTCCTGACTGCTGGTGCCAGCAGTGTTGACTGTGGAGCCAAGCAAGCTATAACTGTTAACAACTTCAATCTCGTCTCCATCTATCATGGTGCAGCCAATTAGTCTAATACAAACCTTTAAAGAAATAAGAGAGGATAGTCAACATGCCTAACAATATTAGCTACCATCAACTGTTACTTTGTTGAGGATTTTCACAGACATAATGCCATTTAATCCTTATTGATGTTGTTGTTAAGTGCCATTGAGTTGACTGTAATTAACGGGGACCCTGTGATCTCTGAACCTTGTTCTATCCTGCACTATCCTCAGGATTTCTGAGATGCTTGAGCCCATTGTTACCCTCACTTTGTCAATCTATCTGATTGAGGGTCTTCCTCTCTTTCACTGACCCTCCACCTTTCTCTGCAAGAGGTCTTTTCCCAAAGATGGTCCTTCCTGAGAACAAACCCAAAGTGTGTGAAAAGAAGTTTCACCATTCTTACTTCTTTTTTTTTTATTTAGGTTGTTTATTTTTCATTTCAATGAACATCTACCGAGATTTTGGGATTTC